AGGAACTTCTATACTGAAAAAAAAATTACAAAACCAAAGTCACATGTTACAAAACAAAATTACAAAACAAAAGCGCTATTGTGTGGGACCTCCAATACTGTTCAGCGAGGTGGATAAACTTAAACAGTAAAACTATATACAAAATTTAAACTTTTGACAAATTCTGACAGCTGCACGTAGGCTACATTTGACCTTAACAACTTCTGGCTGATTTACATGGCAAAGCATACACTTTGGTTCAAAGCTTTAAGATGCGCTAAGAACAAATGTACAACACAACAAATATTCAGTTTCTCATGGGAAAATAAAAGTCCGTATCACCTTAATTAGTGTACCCCAGACTTCATCGCCGTAAAAGCATATAAAGCCCATCTCTCTGAAACCGAGCTTGAGACTCTTGCATCTGATTTGGACAACAGCAGAGCATAAGATCAACACGTTATATAATGCGAAACCAGAGATCAGAAGTTAAATGGAGCTCCTATTGATCTTACAGAACTAGATTTCTCTCCCTTTAACCACAGTCTACAAAATAAAGCATTTTCATCAAGATCTGAGATTACTGTGTCTGCTGCTGAAAAGGTTGTTTTAAAGGGTTCCCTTGTGAAACTGGCAAAAGTAAACTGAGCCCCTTTCTCCATGACACTTTGATGAAACCAATTTTTAGAAACCTAAAGGATTATTGGCTAGAATCATTACTTTCCTCCTCATAAAAAACGTGATTGCAAACTTCAAAGAGAAATGAATATGGCATATGTAGTAAAAAGTGTATACTTTTTGAATTTCCTTTCATTTCAAATGTTGGAACTTACCTCCTGTCCCCCCTCCCCACCGTCCCCGCCCCCACCACTGGACTACTAAATGATACTTTTCTGATCATTTGCTGTGCTGGGTTAGGCTGTCTGTGAAAGTATCAATGCTGTTTCTTCTTTATTCCCCCTTGTCTGCTGGCACGTGTGAACTAGAAAACAAAGTAAAGCCTCGATAATAGCTCCAACACCAAAAAAACACACCAAAAAACCTAAACCAGAAATCCTTTGGAAATGTTATGATAACATTTTCTGAGTTTACTCTTGCAAATCCTGAATGTATAGAATGTATTTTGAACTCCTCTGAAACTGAAACAGATGGAATATGTAGTCAGAGGCTCATTGGGTGTTCGAGTATGACACAGTTTGGGAGGTACTTTTGATACAGAAAACAGAGGCTGACATGTAGTCTCAGCATGCTTAGGAACGCTTGTTTGGGGTTCGGTAGGTTACGTTCACTGCTGACTTCCGTGTTCTGCTCATAGGTGCTGTACCAGGTGGAAGGGTTTGTGGACAAAAACAATGACCTTCTCTATCGAGACCTGTCCCAAGCCATGTGGAAGGCTGGCCACTCCCTCATCAAGTCTTTGTTCCCTGAAGGGAACCCCGCCAAGATCAACCTGAAGAGGCCGCCCACGGCGGGATCGCAGTTCAAGGCCTCTGTGGCCACACTCATGAAAAACCTACAGACCAAGAACCCAAACTACATTAGGTATTTCTGGCAAACAAAAGTCTTCCTTAAGAGTTCCAGTGGGCAGGCACTCTGGAGGAAGATCACTTTCCTGTTTACTTAAACCTGAGTGTAGCCCAAGCCAAGAATAACTGAGGTGCTTATAGGTCACATCATAAGTTATTGTGGCGTTTCCTTACAAAGACTCCAGTGCCCACATCACCACCACTGTGTGTATGTGTGTGTGTGTGTGGGGTAGGGGGGGATTTAAATCAGAATCCTAAAACTTTATATATGTTTGTCTATTTTCAGGCAAGGCAGGAAATGTAACATTTTCCTAATCAGGGTTCTGCATGAAAGCCCTGCTATTGGAACCACTTCAGTTCTTGTTGTATTAAGAGTGCCAAATTGAATCAGAGGGGCATTAATTTCAGCTTTGAAGTTGGGAAATAGTTACCTTTTTTCTCCTGTAGAAGTTGTGTGCCCTGAGAAAAATGATTCCTAAAACAATCTGATTGTTTCCAAAGCCATACAAAGAATGCCTACAGAAGCATCTCCGCTGGTCGTGTCGTGGTTATAAATTGGGCTGCAATCTGCGAGGTCAGCAGTTCGAAACCATAAGCTGCCCCATGGGATAAATTTGGGCTCTCTACCCCCATAAAGAGTATTTATTAGCCCTGGAGGCTCATAGCGCCAGTTCTGCCCTGTCCCCGAGGGTCGCTGTGAGTTGGCATCGACTCCATAGCTGTGAGTTTGGGTTTTGCTCTAAGGGCATCCTCTCAGAAGGGGCACAAGGAAGGGAGGAGTCAACCAAGGTGCAGTACAGCACTGATTAAGCACACAATAGTCCTCTGGCTCCTTGAGGCCTCCTCACTCCTCCCTATCATGACCCCAGTCCTAGCTTTCCCTGTGGACTAGACGGGAGCATGTGCACTGGCAGAGATAAGACCTCACGACACACGGCTTCCAGGACAGATAAAGCCCTCAGGAGCGGAAATGGGAGTAGTGAAACCAAAAAGGCAGGGGGGAGGAAGCCGTGGGGGAAGGGAGAAAACAGTCAGTATCAAATATGAAAATAAGAATAATTTATAAAGGGGTCTTGAGGGTGGTAGGGAAAAACAGAGGAGCTGATACCAAGGGCTCAAATAGAAGGTAAATGTTTAGAAAATGATGATGGCAACATATGTACAAATGTGCTTGATACAATTGATGTATGGATTATTATAAGAGCTGTAAGAACCTCCGATAAAATGATCTTAAAAAAAAAAGTTTGTGGCATGAAAAAAGATTCCGTAAAGACCAACTTCAAGGAGAGTGCAAAGGCTTCGAAGAGTTTGTGGAAATTTTCTGTTATCTTTTAGCTCCATTTTTTCACAAACGTCTTGAAGCTCATTGGTATTTGGTGAAATGAGTCAAGGTGGCACAATGGCTAAGGCTGACTGCAAGGTCGGCGGTTCAAACACACTAGCCTCTCGGAGGGAGGGAAATTTGGCCATCACTCCTACAAAGTGACAGACCTCGGGTAAGATCACAGCCTTGGGGACCCTTCGGGTAGGTCTCCTCTGCCCTGTAACCTTGCTGTGAGGTAGAAGTCACAGCAGCGGGTTAACTGCAGAGCCAGCAAGGAGAAGCTGCTTGTCTGCCGGGTCGGTTTCATACGGCAGAGCATGCACCTGCTCCCCTCTGGAGCTGTCTTTGAAAACATGGCCACAAGGGAACCAGAGGGAAAAGCATCCAGCAGGCAGTTTGTGTGCCTAATATTTATATTAGGAAAAGAGGACACATAGGCACAGCCCTCTGGAGTGATTGCAACCAGGTTAGGGGATCCATGGGGTAACTTTCTGCGATTGGCTGCTACTCTTCATTGCCGCTGTGTGGACGTATTTTTCTACCTTAAAAGGAAAAGGCCACACTTGGTAAGCTTTATTTGTTCCTTTATCATGTGTGTGTGAAAGCTATTTGACACTAGGCTAATGCATAGTTTGAACACAGTGATTTCAGAATAAGATCCTGAACTACACATGTTTGAAAATGATTTCCTATGTGACTGTTGGGCTGTGCATGGCTGCTCCTCCCCAGAATGCAGGTCCAAGAGGGCTCACCACCAGGTCAGCCTTCCCAGCTAGTGAGAGGTGGGAGGAAAGCAAGGGGAGGTCCCTTCCTGGAAGGTCACAAACAGGAAGTGATACACATTACTGATTCTCTGATCCTCCTGGCCTGAATGTGGTCACATGCCCACATCTCCTTCCAGGGAGAGGCTGGGAAATGTAATTCTTCCTTGGGCAGGTAGGTGTCTGAACAGAGGAGGGAAACACCAGTGTATTTCCCCTCCTTAACCGGAGCCCTGGTGATATAGTGCTTACCTGTTGGACTGCAGTCCACATGGTAGCAGTTCAAAGACACAGCAGCTTCACAGGAGAAAGACTGGGTGTTCTGTTCCTGTGAACAGTTACGGTCTCAGAAACCCACAGTGGGTGGCTCTGAGTCAGCACTGACTTGATGACGATGAGTTGGTTTGGTGGATAAGGCGTAACACACGCAGAGGGTTTGGTTTTGATAGAGAAAATAGAGGCTGAAATAGAGTCTCAGAATACTTATGAACGCTTGTTTGGGGTTGAGTAGGTTATGTTGTTTGGCGTTTGGGATAAGGCGTAACACACGTAGAGTGAACCGCCTGCTTTTCTTGCAGAGTTCGTCCGTGCGAAGTTTTTAAAGCCCCCTCATACACCTGTGTTAACTTCATCCAGATCAAGATATAAGTCATTTCCGTCATCCCCTTTCCTGTTGATCCCTCTCCATGATTTCTTCTCTCCAGTATTAACTTCTAACCACCTTAGTTTTGTGTGTGTGTGTGTGTTTTAACTTCACATAAATGGGATCATGTAGTATATATTTTTGTGCTTGACTGTTTTCATCAAACAAAATGCTGTGACATTCATCTGTGGTGTGGTATGCATTAGGTGTAATTTTGTTATTAATTTGCTATGTAGTACTGCATTGGTTTGGGGGGGGTTGTTTGTTTTTTTTAATTTGAAGTAATACCAAAATAAGTGAGTTCATTTCCAAATAATGATAAATGATTATTTCCCTCTGAAGCAATGAAATTGGAATGCTTTGTAAAACAAAGACAGAACTATTCATAAGAGACAGATTTTAAAACCTAAATGTTTTCTAATTCTTGTAGGTGCATCAAGCCAAATGATAAGAAGGCAGCATACATCTTCACGGAGGCTCTTGTGTGTCATCAGATCAGATACCTGGGTCTTTTGGAAAATGTGCGAGTGAGGAGGGCAGGCTATGCCTTTAGGCAGGCTTATGAACCTTGCCTAGAAAGATACAAAATGCTTTGTAAACAAACGTGGCCGCATTGGAAAGGCCCAGCACGGTAAGAAAATCATTGTCCATATTCTATCAAAAAATTTAGAAGCATTTATATAACACAGTGTGGGGTTTTTTTTACGGTTGTTTTTTGGTTTGCATCTTCTGAAAATATTGGCTGTAACCTTGTTTTGAAGCCTTCCATCAGGACACCATTTTGCACTAATTCTTGATTAGTTGGAGTTCTGGATTTTCTGTCAGGTCAAAACCTGGCTTATCCATCGTGGACCAGAAGGGTTAGATGACGCCCAGCTAGCACGACAACTTCTCTGAAAAGGGCCACACTAGCAGGACCTAGATAGAGTGGGAGAAGAACATGGGATAGAACTCACAGCCATAAAAGATTACTAGCTGAAGAGAGACTGGTGGCACCCCCAAAACTATGACCTAGTCACTTTCTTGTCTGGACTTGAACTCACCCCTGTTGTCGGAGAATCAACCATACAAGAATGTAAGAAGAAAATGTCGTCCTAAGGACAAAGTTCTGATGGTTTAGGGGAGAAGGCGGAACGGAAACAAAAAACAGAGGGAGGACGTGGGATAAGGGATAGTGCGTCCAGGGGGTTTTAATAGATGAGTTAAAATAAAATGTGTATGAATTGTTAAATGTGAAACTCACGATCTGTTCTATAACCCTTCAACGTTTCACAATAAAACGTTTACAGAACAAAAGCTCTACCCATGTGAATTCATGTTAAAAAACCCTTGATCATTGATTTTCAGTTAACAGAGTGTCACAAGAGACCCAGGGCCACTCACTTAATTCTGACTCATAGCAACCGTACAGGACAGAGTAGAAGTACCTCTTTCGGCTTCTGAGGCCATGAGCCTTTATGGGAGTAGAAAGCCTCATGTATTTCCCTGGAGCAGCTGGTGGTTTCAGACCACCAACCTTCTGGTTCTCAGTTCAGCTCCTACTCCATTCTGTGCCACCAGGGCAAGTAATTAGAAGGTAGTTAATAATTGGCATTTACATTTGGGTTGATTCTTGGAAAGTTGGTATTAGTGGCATGTTGAATTACAACTCCTAATTTTTGTTTGCACAGACGATGAAGGGATGATACGGAGTTCATGGGGTGGGGCTTCCCTTGGTCCTGGTCTGAGCCAGTTGAGAACGAGCTGCAGGAGTAGACGCTTTTCAGTGTGTTCTTGCCAGGAAAGCTGGGCTAGCAACGATGGCCTGAACCCAAAGCCACACAGCTTTCAAGTCAGCCACTCTGAATTGTATCCCCGCCTCATGCTAGGTAGAAAGCTGGGTGCCTGTAGTTGGGTGCTCTGCAACAGCCCCAGGAGTGGTCCATCTCCGGGGTCAACGGGGGTGCTGGTGGAGGGCTATTGCAGAAAAGCCCAGAGCAACGACCCTTCTGCTATCCTCCGCCGTGGTGCAGAAGCTCTCTTCCCAACACGCGCAGGGCCCTGTTTCTGTTGTTTCATGGGCCCAGGGATGGTGTTGCCTTGTGTTCCCACTGTTCCCCCATTTCACAGGAACATTCGTCACCGGCGTAGACACTTGTACTCTAAGAGCTGGACACTCTAGCCACCTGGTATGGTAATTAGATACTCAAATGCAGGAGATTTGGTAATTTGGTACTGTTTCTTTCTGTCTCTACTGCTAAGTTCCTGAGTTTTATGAGAAGCATGTACCCCACTACTCAGAACATGCAGTCCCTCAGTGCCCCGCACCTTGGCCACACATAGTGGGGTGAGTTTTCATTTTAATGATGGATGTCGACACAGTGGTCCAGGCTGGAAAGGTTTGAGCAGAGCCTAGAGCAAGCCTAGCTCCTGCCACAGTCGGCCCACATGCTTAGTGCCTCTCTTGGGCCATGTCCACACCTGTGGGGCAGGAGCAATGTTTGAAATACGCTTTAAAAATGGACTGAGTAAAATTGAGTTCCCTGTTCACCCACCTGACTCTGATTCATCGTGAGGGGTATATTTGAGCAGTAAGCCTTTACTGACTTTACTAATGAAATCAAGAAATTGGCTTCATGGCCACTGCATCTTCCTGAAGCCAACTTTACTTTATGAACAGTTTACTGATTAGATTTCACTTGTGAACTTCATCCTGGAAAAATCTTCGCTAGATGGATGGATGCTTAATGAAAAGAGCACTTACGCTTGGAAATGAAGCTATTTTTTGATACCCTGCAAAACTTGATATCATCATTTAAGAGAGATTAAACTGTTTTTGAACCTCAGGCGACTGATTGTTTTATTTCTGTTTATTTTTCTAGATCTGGCGTGGAAGTTCTGTTTAATGAGTTAGAGATTCCTGTGGAAGAATATTCCTTTGGGAGATCAAAGATATTCATCCGGAACCCAAGAACAGTATGTAATCAAAATCTTTACACGCAGAACTTAATTTATAATCATAGAGTCACATTCTGATGGGTCAGGATTACAACAGCAGCTGAGGTGCTGTGCCCAAATCGTCAGTCTGTGTACAAAGGTCAGGAAGACAAGTACGAGGGGCATCCAAGAATGTGTGGGCAAACGTCATTCTCCTTCTATTCCATTTTCTATGAACATTTTGAATCCCCACCTGTATTTTTTAATAAAACAAATTTCAGATATTTTAGAGGGATCACATAACAGATTATGAAAACATCTCTCTAATGCATAGTAACTGGAGGTCACGTCAGAGTTATACAATGATTTTAGGCAATACAGCTCTGTTCTATAGAAATACACAAAGGTCCTCAACACTTCCCTTCAGAGTCAAATCGAACACTTTACATTTTGCCTCCTTATAAATTAATTTTTTATTGTGATTGTGGTGAAGATTGATACGGCACGTTAGGTTCCCATTCTACGCAGGTTGGTCGGTGGAATTAGTTACATTCTCCATAATGTGTGAACATTACTTCTTATCCATTCCCATGTGTTTACGTGCGATATAGTCATATAAGTGGTGCATCTGAAACACATAGTAGGCCTAGGAAACTAATGTGCAGTTTGCAAAAACCATGCAGCATGCAGGAAAAAATTATTCAGAACAAAACAGTATAATGCATGAGTTTTATTTTTGTAAAATCGCAGTATCCAAGTTATTTTGCTTCCTTACAGTCCCATCATTCTTTCAAAGTGGCCGGTTGGTCTCAGAAAGATGACTTGGGCACGAAGCACAGTGCTAACAAATATGTACGTTTTTTGAGAGTTAGCTGTACTGTGACCTGCAGCTAGTTTCAGTCCTCTAGGCCCAGCTGGTCGGCTAGGTCTGTATTTGTTTGTTTTAGGGATTTGAGGTTCTGTTAGACCAGCGGTTCTCAACCTGTGGGTCACGACCCCTTTGGAGGTCGAACGACCCTTTCACAGAGGTTGCCTAAGACCATTGGAAAATACCTACTTCCGATGGTCTTAGGAAACAAGACATCGCTCCTCTGTCCGTCTCCAGGGGGTTCGCCCACATGCAGATACGCCCACCTACGAGTACCCAGCACGAAGACTGTTGCCCATGCTACACCATGCTTCAAGACAAAATGTCATTTATTTGTCATTAGAAATAACTATTTCACATTATATAATTACATATCGTTTTGTGATGAATCACTGTGCTTTAATGATGTTCAATTTGTAACAATGAAAATACATCCTGCTTATCAGATATTTACATGACGATTCGTAACAGTCAAAAAATTACAGTTATGAAGTAGCAACGAAAATAATTTTATGGTTGGGGGTCCCCACAACATGAGGAACTGTGTGGAAGGGTGGCGGCATGAGGAAGGCGGAGAACCACTGTGTTAGACAGTCTTCTCTCATTCTGCTGGGATCCGTCAATTATGGCCCTGATTCGTAGACTTTGTAATGCCAGGAATCCCTTTCACGTGTGCCATGAGTTCTGAGTGTTTTGGGGTTTTTTGGTAAATCTCTCTATTATTTCTTATTAGTTATTCAAGTTAGAAGACCTGAGGAAGCAGCGGCTAGAGGACTTGGCCACCCTCATTCAGAAGATTTACCGGGGGTGGAAGTGCCGCACTCACTTCCTGCTGATGAAGAAAAGTCAAGTCGTGATTGCCGCGTGGTACAGGAGATACTCGGTGAGCGGCCCGGTCATTTCCGTCTGTCGTCGCGCTGCTGCTGCCCTTTAGTGTGGACGTTCTGTGTGTGGAATTTTATGTACTCCGTCCTCCCAGCAACCTCATGACATGGGTGCTCTTACAGTTTTGCGTGTTTGTTTTTGGTTTTTTCTAAGACGAGTAAAGCCCAGCAAAGTTAAGTAATTTGCCCGGGATCACTCAGCTACTAATTGACAGGGCTGGGATTTGGAGTGAGGTCCGCTTCAAAGCTTGAGCTGTCATATTACCTTCTGTTTCACTGGTCAAGGTTGTGGGAAGTTCACGGTTTTAATTTGGCCATGACATGGGATGAGACAATGTTATTGAAACCTTGGACTATGGTAGAGTCGATGTTGGCTTTGATTCCCGAAAACAGATGCCCTGTTTTAGTATAATTCTGGTTTTGCTTACGAATTAGAGCTGTTCAGTTAGTTCCCAAGTATCGGCCTCTGCTAGTTATAGGAAAGGATTCAATACCAGCATATTTGTTTCATTGATAAGGACTTTCTCACTTGATTATGGATGCTGTGTTGGAGCATCCCACAGGGTTGAGAGAATCCTGAAGGATTAACTTTAAGCTAGTGTGGATTTAAGTTCTTAGAAAATACATCTTAATGATAAGAACTCTGCTTCCAAATGCTTCTTTTCATCAGGCACCTTTTCACTCGAGTGAGTGGGAAAATTAATTAAATTGGCAGTGATTCCTCCCTTCTGGTGGTTTCCTGTGGAGCCACAGGAGTTTTACTCTTCATCAGCGGGAACCAGGACCGGGTCTAGGCCAACCTGTTCTCCTGTCAGACACCCTAGAGCATGATTTCTGTGTCTGGGAAATGAATGAGGTGCTTAAATGAGAGCAACCAGGAAAGATCTTTGAAAGAATGTGTCTAGAACCACTGATGCTAATTACAAGAATTTAATCAACACTACAGGTCTTCCGGAAATGAAGGACACACCTGTAGTACGTGCTACAAAGGCATGGTGTGCGGTCTCTCTTGTCCCCTAGCTGGGTTGCCGTGGACCTGCCTTTGTGGGCGTCTCAGTGTGACTTCTCCTTTCCGTTAGCCTGAGAAAGGAAAGGAAGGACCCCCGCCCCCCCACCTCCCAAATTAGCCAGCCCTCAAGGAACTCTTTTTAGTCATCTGTTTTGAGATCATTAAGAAAACCCACGCTTGGAAGTGTGCCGCATTGCATTCATCTAGGAGGATGTCTACACATACCGGTGCTGTGGAAACACCTGCTCTGCCCGCCCCTAGGGATAACAACGTTCTTGACTTCAGTTGAGCTTTAATGAAGGACAATGAGCAATTAAGGCAGTAGAATCAGATGCATAAATAATAAGATCATAGGAGGTGCCGGGAAAGGAAGAGAACTGAGATAAAGACTATAAAGGGAGGGGGCGGGTAGGCCAGGACTGCAGGTGGGATGGTTAAGGCAGACTCTGTAACACAGGGGGTGGGGTGGGGCATTTCGTCGAGGAGCATGGTGGGGACTGACACCATAAAGGACAGTTTAAAGCACTCGGTGCTCATTCATTCAGGGCTGTGTACCTGACCCTGTACAAGCTAGCATGATATCAAGAACAGATAGGAGCCATTTAGAGATCATTCAATGGCTGTTAGCATCCTGTAGGTTAACTGTAACAGTTTTGGACTGTTTGATGGTTCCTGGAAGGAGTGTGGGTGATGAAGAGGCAGTTGCCCTGAGTGAGCAAGGAGACCTCCTCCTCGCAGTGTGTGACAGCGTGTCCAGTGTGCCTTGCAGATACGGAATTAGGACTACTAACAGCTTCCCTTTGTGTCTTCTCCAGCAACAAAAGAGATACCAGCAGATAAAGCGCTCTGCCTTGGTGGTTCAGTCTTATATCCGAGGCTGGAAGGTGAGGCTGAGAGAACTGTGTCTAATTTGTGGGGAGGGCTCTGGGTCCCTCACAGAGGGTGGTATCCTTAGGGTTCCGCCCTAGCAGGGGCCTCCTGTCTCCTGCCTACCCCACGACCGAAGGAAAGAATAAATATTATGGGCTACACGGAGGCTCTGGTGACCACGTCTTGGCTGCTTCCTCCCAACAGGCTTTCTTTGAAAAGGCTTTGTTTTCTAAGCAGGAAGTCTGAAATAATACAGTGCACGGTTTCAATATCCTCTTTGCCTGTGTTTTCGAGGGAAGCTTTTAGCTCAGAAAGGCTAGTTCGCAGCCATTGAGTTCCGCCAAATCTCAGTGCGCGCAGGCAAGACGCCTCCGTAGCTTCTTGGCACCTGTCTGGGTTCCATGCCAATTCGTAGGTCTGGGTGCTCCCAGTTCTAGAGGGAGTCCTCCTGGCTCCAGGTCCTTCCTGCAGCCAAAGGCTGGGCGCATGGGTGGCTGAGTCCGCATACTACAGCCTAGGCTCAAACCCACCCAATCACCTGTTTTTGTTCAGCCTGAAACCTTGAGAGTGTTTTGTATTTTGTAAAACATTTCAAACAAAAAAGAAAAAATATCTATTGATAGCTGCAATGATATGAAACGTGTAAGTTCATTGGAACGGAGCCATGCTCATTAATTTGTGGATTCTTTGTGGCTGCTTCAGTGCTGTCACAGCAAAAACAGAGGCCACGTGCCACACAATGTCGGGCAAATTTATTTATTATCTGAACTCTAAAAGGAAAAGTTTGGCAGCCCTTGCTTTAGGTCAAAGGTCCTTCAGGGCCTGCTCTGGCCACTTTTCTGTAACTCCTTTTCATGTGCATAGGTAAATCTCTAGGCCGGAGGTCTCTTCAGCAGATAGAGACTTGGGCCAGGAGTCCTGGGCATCCATTGACCTATGTCAAGGCCTATGGTGAACTCTAGGGTGTGCTGGTCTTCCCAGAGCAAAGGCCAAAATACAAACAAACCTGAGTGTGCACCAGAGTGAAGGTAGTGCTTGCGGGCCCTGCCTGGGCCCTGGGTCCAGAGGGAGACCCAACATCCTGCCACCGGGAGTCTTCCTGGCCCCCCTAAAGTCAGCTTTCAGCAACTACTGGAGAAAAGCCACTGCCTCAGGCCAGTGAGATCGTTTTGTTTTAGCATTCAAAAATACACATCTCTTTCTAATAACAAGTAACCCTACCCTCTACTGACTTATAGCAATACCATAGGACAGAGTAGAGCTACCCTATAGGATTTCCACGGCCATAATCTTTGCAGGCGTAGACAGACTGCCACTTCTGCCTCCTATCGAGTGAGTGGTGGGTTCGAAGCACTGAGCTGTTTCGTTGGCAGCCAAGTGCTTAACCGCCAGGGCTTCCTAAAAAATCCAGCCACAGTTCCTTTCCAGACCGGAACAATGAGAGATGAAAAAGACTGGGAGAATTCCTGGGGGCCTTTGGCCGTGGTCTCAGCTCTGTTTCCTCCCTTCAGAAGTAGGGCAGCTGGGGGTGGGTGGCAGATTCGCCCTGCTCCCACCTGGGCCACCCTGTGATTGATGACAGTTCCACCTCCCACATTCTCATAGTCAATTTGGGCTTAGAAACTTCCCCTTCTCCTTTGTGTGTGTGTGTGTGTGTGTGTGTGTGTGTGTGTGTGTGTGTGTGTG